AATAATGCGTTTTTCAGGGCTACCAACAACGAGACACAATCAAAGCTATTTATATAATTTTATTCATTCCGCATATGGACAAAGATTTGTCGTTTAAATCTCCTCAAAGTCAATTCTCAGGTAAAGGAGCGTAATCAGAAAGTTAAACGTAGCAATAAAGCGAAATCCGGTGTCATAAAAAAGAAATTTATGTAATAAAAATTTTTTTCACAAAAGTGTTGATGCCATTAAATTACGTATTCATGACCATGTTGACCATTAAGCTATGAAATTTTAATATTTATAATTTCGGATTAAGATTTCTGCAAATTCCCCCACGTCTTTTTAATAGTATCATCGTAGAAGGAGTCCACAGAATTTTCGAGTTCTTTTCGAACCATAGCTTCAACAAATTTCAATTACTTTTAATTTTTTAATTTATGTGTATGTACTTCGTTTCTGTACTTCCTCCTAGTTTGGTTTCCTCAAATGCTATTTTTTCTTTGTTTCAATTTGACGATGACGATCAATTTTGTCAGAAAGAAAAACTTTGCTTAGAAGAATATAACAATTTTCTGAATTTCCTAAATTGTTTGTATATAATGTTGATTTAAATTTGACTTTTAAGGGAAGTGGACACTAGCAATAATATGTGGAGCAGTTAGCCTGTAGGTATAAGAGTCTTATCAAAATGGGCGTATTTCTACAGAATATGTTATTTTTTACTATTAGATACATACAGTTATTACATGACTTTCATCACGAAACTCCAAGGTTTGTTATCAAATTTTTCGAGTTTTGTTTTCGAAATTGGTCGCTTTTTTGTTTTCATAAATTAGTGTTTAAAATGTAAAAAAAATACACAACTCTCTAACGTGTTGATCTTTAATTTTGATTCGGAAGATTTTTAGACTTCAAGATCATTAAAGACGTGAAACAATTTGTAGGGAGTTACTCTGTATAATTAAAAATTTATGTTTATATGTTTTAGATTCGTTTTGTTCAATCTATTATATTTTCCTGTTATTTGTTTGTAAAATTGTTAATCATATTTACAATCAATTTTACAACTAGCAGAAATGGTGTTGTTTAGTCGTTTACTTTTTGGCGATTTATTTTGAGTTTCAGATGAAAAGTTAAATTTTTATATTTCATTGAGTTTTATAGATTTTATCTATTCTATTTTTAGTTCAAGAATTACTGTTAAAAAAATATAACCAAATACCCGTCCAAGTAAGTAGTCTCTCTAAAAAACTGTCCGAGTCTCAATAAAACATTCAAATGAAATTTGCAAAATGAAAGGCAACTGTGCTTCGAAGAACCTACAAGAGCTTGAAAACGACGTCGGATTGTAAAATCAAGTTTTTTGAGAAAAACGGTGGTGAGAAGGTACAATAAAGCGCATTTTCAGCTATCACTTAATAACTTCGCAAATTTTTTCAACGGTCTTCCATATGCTTGCTTCGATTAACCCGGTCTTAATCGTTGCTTATGAGTATTTCTTTCAGTATGGACTTTTAATTACTTTTAGCGAAATATTTGCAGCTGAAATCAATCGCTTTTCCATGATATTTAATTCACAGTGTCGTTTCACTTAGTCTACAAATACCCAACGGTACTATAAAATATTACTCGGTATTTTCTTTCAGTTTCTTACTAAATGAACAATTTCTAACATAAACTATGCTCATTACGGCAAGATTTTCAGCTCCAGTGACTACCATCGTTTACACATATGCAATTCGGACTTTCCTGGTTATAAGGAAACATAGATGGCATCATAAATTTATATTAATCGAAACCACTTTTGTTTAACAGCGGCCAACGCATAGGTACATAAAGACATGTAACATGCTATAATAAGAACCATACAGTGTGAAATTTATTAGTTTATAATATAAACTTACATTTACTTGTTGCGCAATAATTTACTAATTCGTTAATTTCAAATGGCCAACCTGCTTAAATGTTGTTTTGGGGAAAGGATAGCAGGAAATATTTATTTGAAACATAAATCATACCGTTTTGATAAAACAAACTAATTTTGTCACATTTTTGCAAAAGGAGAAATGTCTAATTTCATTTGTGTTAGTAAGTAAAAAATCAATCTCCTTTATGGTAAAGTTGTTCAATTTATGGGTTAACCGGATGTTTTCAACTTGAAGTTGTAAAGATTTTTCTCTTAGTTTTTCCACTATCGCTTATATTTAGTGACTAAAATAGCAGAGATAATTCATCAAGTTTTCCCTGCCCTCTGTTTTAGTGCTCTAGTTGCAATTAGTTTGTCTTTATTTGATTTTATTGTAGTCATTGACCAGGTGAATAAATGCGTTTTCTAACTTCGAGCCCAACTGATTAGAATATACTTTAAAAATACTTTGTATTGAAAGCAAAGTTAAAAATGTAGTCATACATCGTTCAGAAGTATGTTACTGCTGCAAACTTCTATCAATGACTCAATTTGTATATCGAATCCATTAAATATTAATCTTCAAATGATTGATATGCGGACTGCTTAATATGTTTAGGCATGAGTAAAACGGAAGTTATTCATTATTTAGTTCCTCAACGCCGATCACCATGTCCAAGGACTTAATATGTTAAGGTTTCATTTTATGTATAAAACAATAAAATTTGAAATTTGCATTTTTAAAACTATTAACGCGTGGTTCGTCTTTTATTTTATTTTCATGGACACTTCAGAACATTCATTAGCATCTAAATTATAATGTTTATTACAGCTGTGAGGGATATCTAAGAACACTTTCAACTGTTTTCGCTGCCCGAAGAAATTAAACGACACAATTTTAAGACATCCAACAAATAGCATCGATAACCTACTTAATATAGAACCAAATTTCCTTGTAAAACTGAGCCTATGTTGGAAAAGGTACAAATTATAATTCTTTTTCTTCAGCTCTTGTGTATTAACTTTAATGTAATTAACACACACATTAAATAATCACATTGCAGCACCACCTGAATAACTGATAATGATCAGCGAATAAAACGTGCTGGAAGGTTTTTATGGATTTTTCGGCTTTTTTAAATTCCTAAAGTGTTAGATAATATCTGATTAAGTAAATGTCTATTGAGCACTTTCTTGCAAAAATTTCTTTATTTCAATACCAATTCCGTAATCATATGGTATCAATTAACTTCATATATTTGCTTTGTTTAGTCTTTATTTTACATAACTATTGTATAAGGTGTGTACCACTTATTAATCATGTTTGGGTTAGTTTGGCTGTGTGCTAAGTCGTTAATTGCGGTGCTTAACCCTAACGAACAAGCGTTTTGTTTGTTCATAATTATTTTATTGTTCTAATAATTGTAATTAAAGGTTAAAAATGAGTTGAAAATTCAGAAAATAAATATGGAACTTTCATAAATATTTTTAACTTTATTTCTCAACTTGTTCGTCAACGTTTTAAGAACACTTTAAGTGAAGCAGTAGAAAATGAGCTTACGCTCACTCAATAAAAAGAACGAAATTGTACAATGCCGTACAGCTTTTGTAAGTTTTCAAAATAACGTTATTCATATCTAAAAGATATAAATCAAATAACTGAAAATATTCTTTCTTCCCAAACGCACAGAACAGAAAACTGAAAATTAAAACTCAAAATAAATTAAATATAAACAAAAAATCATCAAACAGTGAAGGACTGAAGAAGAGCATTTTTATTTCTTGTAAAGTTGTTGGTCGAAAAAAATAATTTTCAAAGAAGCACCAGCTCCAGATGCAGATCCGCCAAATCCACGCAATATTTTGTATTTCCAATCAAACTGTGGAGAAACAGAAAAAACGTGTGTTTGATTAGTTTTTTTATTACGCTCTTCAAACATGTGTATAACAATGTCAGACATTTATAAAGTCCACCCTTCATGTGAAGACTCTCAATAAATCAAATCTTCTACATCAAAAAATGTCGGAAATCCATAGTGTGTTGTTATTACAAGCTAATTTTTTGAGCTTTTGAATCTAAAATATTTTATATTCATGGGAATTACCAGTTTTGTGATAAAATTTTCGATTCTGTGATGGAACTCATGTAGTTAGAGAGAGCATTGATACGTAACCATTATATCATTGCTTTGTAAACTCAATGTAAAAAGTCTATTTTAAAACTCTCAATTTATTATACTTGTCTCTGCTTTTTTATACATTTTTTATATACTTTTCCTTACTCCGAACATATTCCCCATATAATTAGAGGACATCCTGTATTAGACAATTTCTAGAAAATGTACAAATGGATTAAATAAAATTTAATACGGGGTAAATTTTGCAAATTAATTGATATAGAAAATGGTTTGACTCAAAACGGTTTGACGGTGTGACCATGTGAATAATATGCTTGCTAGTACAAGAATGAAGACGTTAATTTTTATGGAATTTTGCAATATTTTAATAATTTTAAATGTAATTTTAAGGTTGTGCCCTCATCTTTGCAACATTCCCATATCTGAAATGATATATAATTTATCGCATAATCTGCAGAATTAAAATAATCAACATATCGCTTACTGAATAATAATCAATTGATCGATTAATTATGATTCACCGCTTGTTCAATAGCACAATCAATGGAATCAAAGTTGTCTGAAATTTCGGTTCAGTGGGTTACCATTACCTTCTATGACACATTAAGCGGTCTGCCCCAATCATTGCCATGACGTAAGTCCATTATTATAACGGAGAAAGTGGTTGTTTTATAAGTTGAAATCATGCCATTGATTTTTGGTTTCGCACATTGAAAGGCTTACGATGTCCAATAATTAATGGGGAAATTGTTACCGATCTGTAAACAAAGGTTTTTCATTTGTTTCTGGATTGTTTTATTGTTTCTGTTGAAATATTTATCGTTTTTTTACATTGGCCAGTGACCAATAAAGAGTCATTCATAATGAATAAGAACTAAGCTGTTTTGAAAATTAGTGGGTTTCAACCTAAAAATAGCCTTAGAAGTCTTGATATTTGTTTTTCAAATCTCATTGTTGTTTTTGTTTTTTTTCAGCCTGGTGGACGCCCGGAGGCCGACTTTACACTGGACGTGCCCCGATCCGAATTGCTCTCCAAACGTCTTCGCGAAGACAAAAAATGGAGATTTCGATGTCGCGTACTCACCTCCTTCCTCGGCCTGGTGTTCTTCCTGCTTTCTGTGATGGCTGTAAGCATGATTCTGACCAGAGGCAAACGAATGTTTGGAAGCATGGTATAGGCACGGATGGATTTCTAGTACAACGAATAATTCAGGATTTTCATAGGTTTTAATTTTAGTCTTTGTGAAAGCGTTTTGAATATGTAAACAGTGTCGCAGCTGCCTGTTAAGGCCGATTATGATTGGTAAGAGTACCTACTTACAAAGACTTTGCACAACGTAATAATGTAAAATCTAATCGACGTTAACTTGCCAATGTGAAGAAACACGGAATATACAGGGTGGTTCGTTTAGAGTGCGCAGTTTCTTAAGTGCGGATGCTGCATACTAACACGCGTTCATCTAGTTTAACATATGTACAAAGGATGTAAGTGTTGCAGATTTACAGGAGTTTTGAGGATGGAATCGCAAATCATCCAAAGTCAAAAAAACATTGAGTATGGCACTGGCAATATTTGTTTGTAGTCAAAACATCTTAAGCTATAAATGAAGCGAAAAATGTACAATTTGTTCTTATTTCTCTTATCAGAATTGCAATTGATGAATTTAGGTCTGCTGTTCTGAATTCCATTCAACGTTTTTACCTCGTTTATGACATTCCTCGAGTTATTCTGGCCGTTTTCAAGCGGCAATTCATGAAAGAAGTTTAGAAGAATTCTCACTCTAAATATGTAAACTTTGTTGAATAGAATTTTTCTCATTCTTCTTTCGCTTGGTTCTAGAGTTTGTCACTAAACTCCTTGAACAGTTTCTGTTCATGCAAGTTATTCTCCATTAATAACAATTTTAAATTATGCTACTTGCGATATTTTAACGTAAATCTCACAATAATACAGGGTGATTTGTACGAGTGGCCAATTTTTGAACTGGTCTAGCTTAATTTGGGCCCAGAGAAAGCAAAATCGGGGATTTTGTTGCCAAAGTTAAACTTCGTAAGTGCAATTATTTTTTTTGCACACTTTAACAGCACAACAGAAATTATTATATACGATTTCCCATAATGAATGGAAGATAGCGAAACACCGATTCCTGGAATAAAAACAACTGAACTTTATGAGAAATTTTACATATATTCAAAAATTATATTATATTTGGAAAATTTATCGTGGGACAACTTGTAGCATCATATACACAACATTGTATACACAACTAAATCAGGGTGTCCCAATGAAGTAGCGCCAACTCCCGATTATAAACGAATTTTTCTAAAAACTTAAGTCTTGATGTCTCATATTTTTTCCTTATTTTTCCAATAATAGTTTATCTGCTAGTGCTTGAATTTGACTGTTTATCGTGCTCTTTATTAAGACTAGTCCGAATTTTGTTTCACAAATTGATCCGTTTCTGTAAAGGCTAAACATTTGTTCACAGGAAAATTCCGTTTAAATCGTACAACTAATTTAACTGATTTTCAAATCTAGCATTTCTCGAAAATTCTTCACTCTTAAAATCGAGAACGAATGTGTATTTTGGTCTTATAGTCAAATTTGATTAGATGTTAAGTTTATATTCATTAAAGCACTTTGAAAAATCGAGATTATTAGTTATTTTCCTTACAGAAACTTATTTAATTTTCCATCTTGATTTTCCATCTTGAATCTTAAAGCAGTAAAAGTAATGTTTGGGAATCATTTACAATCATGCAAATCTATCTGAAAATATTTTCAATCTTATTAGAGGAAATTGTTGTCTAATAAACATGAAAATTGAAAGCAATAAAAACACAATTAGTGCGTTTTTAGTTGCAATATTTCGCATCGGTTTTTGGACAAAAAAGGTATGATCGGAATCGACTACTTCGGAATACGTACTTGGAGATACACTTTGAAACCCTTGTATTGTTATCTTATGAGGCGATTGCTGCGGCACTGTTAACTCATATAATCGATTTATTGTTTTTGTAATGGACAAACTGCCTTATTCCGTTATTGTACTTGTGATGTGATTAACGATTCTGTATAACGAGTGATTAAGTATTTATTATTGAAAATTGTATTTATAATAAATAAATAACATTGATTAATAAATTTACTTTCCGTTCTTAATTTTTTAAAATAAACGTTCGGAAGAGGTATTTCGTTTTCAATATTTGTAACTTTCCATGTCCACTTTGGACGTATTGAGTACAACTATTCTACAAATTTTATCCTATACTTGGGATCAACAAATGCAATACTTATAATACGCTTGCTTCATACTCAAAGTACTAAAAAGTGCACTGGATGAAATTTATAGAAAATGTTTTGTATCGTTGGTTTATAAAATCAAATGGCTAGAAGTAGTCTCTTCAAAAACTATGGCCAAGAGCTTGCAAAAATCGCATCCATATTAAGGCCCCTAAAATGCCGACGTTCGAATTTCACTCTGTAACTGTCCCAATAGCCAAATTTTATTTGATTTTTAATTTCCTTGTAAATTGATATCGTCCGGTTTTACTTTTTTCCATTTTCTCTTCACCAATTTGTCTTGTTTATTCATTCACAAAATACGACACTGTTAGATTTATTTTTGGCTCTACTTCTACTTTCCATAATTTCTAACTGGTTTAAGAAGATGGTTTTGAGATGGTTTTGAGATGGTATGAGACACAATTACACTTTTAATTTTTGCATTGTCACACCATTTATTTTAGGCAATTATTTCAACTTTAAGATTGAAGAATTACTGTATACTGTGATCACCTCATTTTTCTTTAATGTTGTGGTAATTTCTGACTGATAAGGGGAAAGAAAGAACACATTTTTTCCACACAATGTATATAAAATACGATAATTCCCTTCCTGCTTTCAATATATTTACTTATTTTGATCGGTTATTTATGTCTGTGTGATTGTTTAGTTAAAACTAATTTTAAACAAATTTAGTCTATTTTAATTTGTTATTTTCTTTTAATCCCTTTTTTGTGAAAGCGTTTTACAAGATTTTTGAGTATTTTTGACTCTTTTTGCCGGATTTGTTACTCTTCTCACAAGGAACTAAGTGCCTGGCTAAATTTTTCATTCAGGGGTTTATTTTCAGCTTTTAATTATAGACACACACAATATAAGAGAGGTTCATTAAATTGAAAGTTAAAAAATGTGGTTTGTAGAGAATTTGCTTTTCCATTTTTATTTTATTTGACTCGATTATGTTTGAATTTCACGCTACTTCAGTCTCTACTCTACTATTTTTTCAAATATTTTATAGCTTTATTATATTTTCTAAGACTAATTTTTCGATAGTACATTCCCAGCTATTCTGAAATTTTATCGTTTATATTGATCATTATCTCCGTCCCTTCTGATCCCATGTCACTTCTGTTTTTGTTTTTCAATAATATGGTGATTTGTCAGTTTTTAGTTTTTGCATTGCTTTGCTGAATTTGAATTTTGTATTTGCTCATAACCGTCTTTTGTTGATTTTTCTGTTTACACTTCATGCTCCTTCTAGGAACGTTTGAATGTACTTTCGCGATTTCTGTTTCTCTACGCGATTTAATAATTATTCAAGGAGCTACGCGCAGATTTTGTAACTTTTCTTTATCCTCTCTCCAAACTTGATACTGATATTATTCTTTACTTGTATTATAAGTGTTTTTGTATTTTTTTAGGGTTCTTGTTATTGAAAACGAGGTAGAGCTAAATTTGGTTGAGCCTTAAAATATTCAAACTGCTGCAGAAAAAATAAACGTTGCATAAAGGCGAACAGAACGCCAAGAAAGAGAAGAAATGAGGAAAATTTCGCAAATAGGTCCAATAAAATATCATTCTGGCACTAGTAGAATGGTAGAAAACACGGTTTTTGTTTTAAATAATCCAGGATTTAACTACGTTTTCAGTTTTAATATAAAACAGTTTACATTAAAATTTAACAAAAACGTTTTTACATGTTGGAAATGCTGGTTTCTGTTTTCACCCACGCCTATCCAAAATTACACGAATACAACCACATTTTCTGCCATAGAAAATCCGGAAACTTGAAATTTCAGGCCAAAATTCAAAAACAAAACTGGAAAATATTCGTAAAATATATAAATTATTTTTTCCACCTTGTGTATTCAAGATCCAATGTTTTGCTGAGCGTATGTATGTAGATATACCTTGTATATCCAGCTGACATGTTTTGACCACTATTATTTGTTATCAATATTGTGTCGTCGGCATAGCACAAGTTGCTGTCATTCTATACTTTGTCGATTCATACGTTATGAAAATAAAATCTGGACCAAAGCGGTGCAAAACATTTTGTCGAAAAATTGTTCAAAAAAGGGTTTTGGTTATTCTAACACCAAGAAAATAGCATAAAAATGTAGTCTTTATTACTAATAACGATTATTTACAAAACAAAATTTTCAATTGATTGATCACAAAGCATAAAAATAAATTTGGAAAATTATTCAGTGATGTCCATATTGCCCGCTGGATCCACCAGAAGACTGTTGCGATTTGGCGCTGGCAGCTACAACAGCTGCACCAGCTGCTGCGGCATTGCTTTGGGCTTGTTGCGCTGATTCGGCGGCTTTGTAGTAGGCAGCTTCAGTTTCGCTCAGATCATGTACGGCTTCTTGCAGCTGATGAATCAAGGTGGAGAGGCGTTGCTTAGCTTGCGCTACCATAGATTGTTGAGAGGCGGCAACGTTTGCAGCTTCAGCTGCAGCCTTTTCCGCCAGTTGACCTCCACCTAGAAAACGATTTAGATGAGTCAAGAGATAATCGAATTTTCTTCTGATTGTTAAACTGAGTTGGATGTTACTTACTGGCAGCCGAAGCTAGAGCAGCGCTTAGTGTAGCTGCTTGGGATCGGGCTTGTTGTGCGGACTGTTGGGAGATTTGAGCGGACTGTTCGGCTTGATGGTATTGAGAAATTTCACCGCTGAGTCTCTTTTCCGCTTCGGATACTTGTCTCTTTAAGCTGTAGACGATGGCCTGTTTTCCCACCAGAGCGGCTTGAGCAGTTTGGGCGGCCTAAGAAAAATGTGTTCTTTTAAATATTGTCATTTCCTTATATGCAGGTCGTGGGCTTAACTGAACTCAAACCATATCTTTCAGATCATGGTCGAGTAGATTGTTAACATCATTTTCTCTTAAAGTACAAGAATAGTACATAATCTCATCACCTTATATATAGCGTGTTCTTTTACTAATTTAGCAAAACAACTCTGATTTTTTACGGTTCAGATAAAATTTTTATTTCCATTGCACTTTGTAATGCCTACAGATTTTTTAGTTTATTTATTATTGTGTCTACCTCTACTCTAAACAATTATTGTTTTACTTAAGTGGACCGGAAACTGATGTACTCATATTTTACTTTATCCGATTATTGGGAACGCTGAAATTGGTCCAGATTGGAGTTAAAACCAGAATTTCGAAAAATTAGTTGAGAAAAGCGGCTTTCCTATAGCTCCAGATTGTACCAGGATGTTAATAATTTATGTTTAAAAACTCTTAAACTTTTCATATTGTGTTTTCTTTATTTTTCTTTTATGTGTCTTTTTATTTCATATTCCATTTTGATATTGGTTTCGTTTTTAGCAAACTAGGTTTCATTCGTGTCAAACGGATATTTTCAAACCATTCTATCTTTTTCGTAGTAGTAGAAGTAGTCGATAGTTTTTTCTTTAAGAATTGGTAAGTGGTTTTAAGGCATTTGTTGCAAAAAAATTTAAGTGACGCACTGATAAAACTTCTTAAACTCCATAAACATAAAACTAGTTATAGCAAACTCAAAACTTTAAAAAATCTGCGAATAGACGAAAATTTCATTGCTTGCTTGCAGGGGTGTAAAGTTGTGCGATATATATTGTCCTTCTCATTTATTGTCGTTATGTAGTTTTACTTGATTAATCAATTGTGTTCTTTTCTCAATACGTTTATTATATTCTTGTCTGTCTGCACCTTTGATTTCGTTTCTAAATTTTCGTGCGTTTTCTTAAGTTGCCACTTAAGTTAACCGAGTTATTTTTACCTTAACGTTTCCCCATTTTTGTGCTTAATAGAATTGATTTTCATGTGGAGAATATTAAATGATAAAAAGTAGAAGTTCCCTTTCGACTCAGCTTTTTGTTAATGAATAAGCCTGATTTTTCCATAATTTAATTTTTTGTTTCCTCGATATGCTGGAGTTTAATTTTTATTTAAACTCCCAGTAATTCTTCCTTACGCATTGGTAATCATAAGATTTACTAGCTTATTTTGAACGTATTTTGGTGATATGTGAAGAAATAAGACTTAAAAGTGTTCTTTATTTGTTATTATTTCTAATTAGCTGCAAGTGTACATACGTTCCAATTTTTGAAATATTGTCAAGCTCAAATTGTTTGATCCTTGAATTCTTGATAGTCTCCAGAGTATAGATGAGTATTAAATAGGAATATAAAAATTAAAAGTCCCATAAAAGAAAAACTTTTAAGTTGTGTAGGCGCAATAGAATTCTGACTGTTCGCTCTTGAATATTCGGGCAATTTTCACAGATAAAACGTTCCAGTTAATTTAATCTAATAATTTTAGCAGTATGATTTTTGAGCTACATTTTATTAATCGTTAACTCACCCCTTGAGCGGCACTAGCCAAAGTACTCTTGATTCCAAAAGCCGCCTGGCTACCGGCAGTATGTTGAGATTGCACAGCGTTCTTAGCTTGAACAGCCGAAGTATGAGCCAGGCTGGTAAGTTCCGCTCCAGATTCTTCTTTGCCTTCGTCTACAGCCAGATGTTCATGACCTGCAATCATTGAAGAATTCTAAAGATCTTGCAAAAATAAAACAATTTAACAAACTACCTCCTTGATATTCGCCTCCGTATCCGCCGCTGGAAATTTCCTCATAGTGTCCGGATCCTTGTGCTTGTTGTTCAGGAACTACGATACGTACTCTCTGTCTGCCAGCAGAAGACAAAGCCACTAAAATAGAAGAACCCACTTTGAAATTTAGCCATTTCTTTTATAACTAAGTTTTGGAGACTATTTCATTCATTTTTCAATGGTTATAGAAATTATTTGTCTTCTATGCTCTGGTCTTATAACTTGAGACTTATTTCCTTTACAACTCATAATCGTTCACAAATTTCTGGATCAAACACCTCGCTATTGTAAAGTTGCTGTTGGTAAGGAAATAGATGCTTGAGCAATCATTTTTTCCAAAAACGACTTTTGTTTTGATATTTTAATCTCTTTAATCGTTCATTTGAATATAATTTTGTTGCCTATCGACTTCAGTCGATTTGAGACTTCTCATTTACCAATTCAGTGAATTTTGTCTGATTTCATATTTTTCTGTTCAACTTTATTCTCTTCTTAATGCCACCGTTGCGTCAGCTTCTTCCATTATTTAGAATGAACGCAATAAACTCTGCTTACTTTATGATTCCGCCACTTGCTTTGGTCGTTATTTATACCTTCATTTTACGTTCGAAAATTACCGCTATGAAAAATTTTACTTATGAGAGAATAGTAGCAGAAATTAAGACGGTAAAGCATAAAATAAACCGTAAAGATGGATAAATTTAATTTTCTGCGAATGAATAACACGCATATTTTAAGTTTATGATTGCACTGATACATTAGCATTACAAATAAACTAAATATATTTCATTTCGCAATTAACGGTCTACAAACTTTCTCAAACTCTCTGCAGACCGCATCAAGTGCCTGGTATTTTCTAAAAGCAATTCTTGTCTAAACGTTTGTAAAATTAGAAGACAAACATGGGATTAAAGAGCAAGAAAAATAAAACTTAAGAGGAACTAGTTATTCGTCGTTTCTATTTCCCCACTTAATAGAAGCTATCAAAATTAAAAATAAAAACCTTTCCAAATATGCTCAAATATCAATACATTTCTTACAAACCTTATAACAGTCTTTTCTTAAGCTCATTTTAAAAATTAGAGGAAATAGTTAATTTGATTCATTGTGCACTATCTGAACTTGATTGTTCCTGTTTTCGTCGTTAGAGATTAATTGCTCACACATTCTTTAGATCTTCATTATTATTAACGCAACTGTTAAATTCCTAATAAACTATTACTAAACTAATAAGAAAACTAACAATTTTCACAAAGAAAGGAATTATAGCGTAACTACATGTTGAGGTTTGAGGCGAAGTTGAATTCTTTTAAATAAATTTATTTTCTATTTTATATTGTAAAAATATTAATATAAAACCGGCTAAAAATAAAAAAACAGTAAGATAAAATAGATACTGTTAATAAGTGGGGTAAAATTATTGAATCTTCAAATGAATAAATTTGCCTTTTCATTTTTAAATTAATTTTTTACTTAGTTCGAAAAAGCGAGTAAAAATTACATAGTTTTTAATATTCGTTATAACTTGAAACGAGAAACTTACCACAGAGAACAGTAATAACGAAAAACCTGAACATCATGATCTGGAAATAAACACAAAAGTTTTAATTGTAATTTACACATTTTTTTGCATCAGACAGTCTTCAAAGTAACGGTAATTTAATTGTGCAAAATATACATTATTAATAAAGACAGTGCTTTCTGAAAACAAATTAATACATTGATATCAAAAATTGTAAATAAAACATACAAATAACACAAAACACCAAACGCTTAAACACTTGAGATGAGGAACTGAATGGACTTTCAGAGGTATCCGTATGGTTTTATACCTTTTACCAGCTGTGGAACTGGGGGATTGCAATCAGGGAGGCACAAGAAAAAAATTAATTAGTTGTATATCTGCACGTAAACGAGAGTTTAATTTATTTTAATCTTCCAACCGGAAAAAGACAATACCTTAATTGCAGCTCTTCAATTTAATAGGAATATATTGCTTTTCAATCACCAATTATTTAGAATTTCATAGTTATAAATCGGCAAAATATTGGCATTCGATTGCAAGACTTGTACTGTTTGCCGTGTGTAATTTTTTGGCTTCACTTGCTGCTGTTTAGCAATCGAAAATCATTCATCAGGAATTGAGGATGATGCCAAAAATCTAATGCAAATTTGTTACTACTGCTGCACATTTCCCGTAAATTATACTATGAAATAAATTATTTTAACATTAGTTTTCACGCATGTCTTGTCCAAACGTTTCGCTTGCATTGGCGACAATTGTTCTCAATCGCGAGGTGTTAAAGAACGGTTGGAGGATTCTCAACCACTTTGGGCTCATGATCTACTGTCAATTTCTTTGGCTAGAAGGAAATTAGATAAGTTGCACTTATTCACAGGTAGAAAAGTGCGGAATTTTCATTACGTTTTTAAACAGGCTTGTTTTTGCCATAGTGGAAACTTGAGATATTTGACCATTCTACTTCATTACAGTGCAAATATGGGCAAAAAACTCTCGGCTATATGATTAGGTACGTGAATATACAATATATGTAATGCGTGCGAAACGTAATTTCATAATTATATAAAACTCTATGAGAATTTTGATAAAAAAGGGTATTTTCCTGGGTAACTAATTATAACTCGATGCAGAAAAATTAAATGTTTAAAGCGCATAAAATCAAGGATAAATGCACTTTTTGGTATTTCGCGCAGTTCTGTAGCTAATTATATTCATTTTAAAGCCAACTTCATATTGAAATAATTAACAAAAATCAAATTTTTTAACAATGATTTTGCCGTTTTTTAATTGACAAATGTACAACTGAATCTGCTAATTGCATTTGCTGCGTTATAATGTTTAAAAAATTACCAGCCACTAAATACTTTGCTCTAATTGCACCATCTCATAGAATTAAAATGTAAAACTAGAAAAACTGTAGTGTATGGTTTAGTGGCTTTTCGAAGCAACAATACTGATTTGAAGCAGAGATAAAATCAAAAATAATTAGGCTGGCAGACGTTTCAAAAGTGATTAAGCCATCTTATTACGCAAATAATTATTTGGGCAATGGATTTTTCGCATAGAGTGCAAAGTTATTGGGTGGTTCTTAAGTAAAACGCGATTTTTAGTGGAGGAAGTAGTAAAGGAACTGCACGGAACAAAATAAAAAAATTAAAAATGTGCGTGAATTCACCAAATAAAGTTTGACAGTAATGCCCAATGTCGAAAGGCTGAAGAATCGTCGATGTTTAAGAGCATAAATCTTTTAAAGCTAATTTAAAGCTAATTAAAAATAATAAAAATCTAATAAAGCTTTTATAGCATAATATCATCTGAATAACGGTTATAAGCTTTCCGTTAAAGGGTAGTAAAAGCTTTGACCTTCGAGGTTTTTGAAGGAATTTAAAATTTACTTTTACCGTAAATCTTTTTTCCAAAACAATTTAAAATAGCTGATGAGTTACAAGAAATGTATTGACCAGGCTGAAGGAACTAACCGCCTAATAGTTAACGCTAAATTTAAGAAAAACTGAAGAGACTCAGAAATATTTCGCGAACGAATGGAATTAATTAATTGATAGTAGTTGATTTTTTTAAAATTCTAACGTTTCTGAGATGCTCTTTTTAAACATCGATCGATTTTCTAACTCGATTTTGGAGCCAACAAAGAAAATTCTCAACTTGAACGTATTTCTACTGCACTTACACTACATTCACAGCAATACACTTCTTAAGATTTTTTTTGTTTCAGTCCTTGAATGCAAGAAATATATTGGGCGCTTTGAGTACTATATTTTCCTCAAAAGAAAAGAGTAAAACCTTCCTCACTTTTAAGGTGATAAAACCATTATCTTTAATTACGTAGTTAAGTACCAAACCAGCAACTATTTAGAAATTATGGAATGGCCTTGTCCTTTAAAAGCTTCAAAGCAAAGTCCGTAAAATTTCTAGTCGTTCAAGTCAAGATTTTTTACCCCAAAAGTTATTGCAAATATCTAAACAGTCGTAAAAGGCATTCTCGAATCATGTTTCAACACTAAGCTTTCTCAGTAACAGAAATTCGTAGCCTTTGAACATTTGAATAGAAAACCAAATTCCAGCATTTGGGTTTTTATTTTTTTAAATTAGGAATCAAAATTGGAAAATGTACGCAGGCATAGAACTGTGAAATAATTTACCTTTGCCAAAAGGCTCAAGATATTTGATTCAAAGAAATATATTCACAAACCATTTGGAAAGCTGCCCTTTTGCTAACATTGTTGAACCCGAATTTCTAATATCCAAATAGTTAACCGCACAATAAAAACGAATTGAATGTTGAAATGAATTAAATATTGAACCACTAAAAAGTAGATCGAAAATATGAATTTACGTGATATTTAATGTTTAATCATCGGTTTAACCATCAGGTAGCAAAGTATCAGTCAATTTATATTTTGCTTTTTATATTTTATATTTAGTCAAAGTATTTTTTTCTCCACAGCTAAAAATTTCGCAAAATTTAAGAATTAACAAGTGAGTAACTATTTTATTGGTTTATTCAAAATGGGAAATTAGCTCTTCGCAGAGAACTGTTTTTTTCAACAAATTTGGCTTAATGGGAAATTTTTAAGTATAAAAAGATCGTTCAAAACATTTTAATTTATATCTCATAAACAGGTGAAAATATCTAGACATATAAAACGCTTTTGTTGGATAGATGGTTTGAAGACTAAACCTTTCCTAAGTCACTAAATTTGATGATAAATTCACAAGTTAGCATGTTATTATCTAAATACAATTCGTGTTTTGCCATTGATTAAACATTTTCTTAAAAATTTAAAGATTTTCAATAGAACGTAGCCCGAATTGTAATTTCCTTTTCGGGCTTCCATCGAAGTTGATCTACTTTGAAGTAGATTGTTATTTAAGTTTTCGCTCAGAGAGTTTCTGGGAAAAATCAAAGAGAAGCAAACATGTAAATTGGCTGACTCTGTACTCAAACGTACCAAAAGCGTTATAGAAGATCCGATATTACGCCAACATTTAAGCACTAATAACGCTTCCTTCTTTCAATGAAATCATCTGCACGTTCATAGTTTTATATTAATAGAATTGGAGTAATTGGCTATGCGAAAGTATAACATGCAGAACTGTTAGGAAATACGATGAATATGTTTTATATGTTTGCTATGGTTTGCTATGTTTTATGTGTTTAATTGGATTTGGTAGTTTGCATGACGATCGGCAAATAAATTTACAGATAATTTTGATCCGAGTGGTCAAGTGGATGGAATGCACTCATGGAATTAAGTGAATATGTAATTCTTAAAATGCATAATCCAGGCAAGCCTAAATAGTCTCAGCTTTGTCTGATTCCATCGGAATGTTTTATTACTTCCAAGCTGCACATTTAGGTCGATGTTGTGAAACTGTATTTTCAATTAGTCTGTGCAATATTTTTGTAGTTAGTTATAATAAATGTGATTTATTTCATTCGTTTAAGCAATGAAAAAACAAATTTAGGGCGGATATCTAAAACGCATTTTAGACTTCGTCGAAGCCTTCTGCTGTTATCGGTCATTACACCTTCTTCTGGGATATGCAGTAACAAAATGCCGATGTTGGCCTACTGATGATTAATGCTTATTTGCATTAAAACTACTGTTACAACACACAAACTGTTATTATCCACTATTGTATAAATCTCAATTTTTACGCTTCGCTTTACTCAAGTTAATCATTTTGAGCGTATTCGCATCCTTTCGATTCTCGATCCGACACGGAAAAATACCGTATGGATCAATTAACAATTTTTATGTGGTGAAGATAATTGTTAGAAAAGCTTCTTGACTATTAATAGCAGCCGGAATATGTTTATGCGTGATACAGACTATTAGTTTAATTGACATATTAAACAGGGGATTTGCTTTAAGAGAGCCCCAATTTGAAGTAGTGCAATTAGCATTGTGATGAGTGAAATCGATAATGGATCGAACAAATATAGCAAAAAATAATTACATCCCATTAAAAGCTAGAAAAGAGTCAAAGTAATGAAGCAACAAAAATTTGCAATTATTTTGTCGTATTTCAAAAACATCAAAACTTTTAGTAGATGCTGAGAGTCCTCTTAATAATTTTGCCTTGCACTCTTTTGATGGTCCCATTTATAATTGCCTTTTCTATTTAAAACGGATTTAATAATACTAGGAATTGTTTGATACTGATGTGGGATTTATTTAAGATTGCATTCCGATTTATTTTTATAGAAATTAAAATGCGATAAGAAATATCTATTTAATTACCAACTAAACTATTCGTGTATATTTATAGTAATTTATGTGGTAAAAAAGTTTTTATTAAATCAAACTTGCACTAATCGGCTGACCGGGTCATAAATAAATTATAATTATGTATTTATTTATTTTATTTAAATGCACAAATTTTCGTATTTTTCTGCGGTTCGCACTTTCCAGTCATTATTGAAAAATATAGTTGAGAGAAATAACTTTCTAAGGTTTTTTTGAGAAAGAAGATTTGGAAAATTGAGCAGGGGAAACGCTAACTTGTTTAGACTTTTGTAAATTTTATGCAAATGAGTCTAAACGGTTATATTATAGTTGAGGGAGGAAATTTCGAACAATTCATTTAGACTAAATTCTGGTTTTGTTTAATTCGACTAGAAAATGCTTTAAATCCAAATTATTGACCAATTTAGTTTAAATTTGTTGGCGTTATAATTTCAAAGTTTGAATTAAAAGATCTGTTGGTGTGAGAATTTTAAGACGTACATGAACACGACTTTATTTTTTTTAATGGAAAATAATGCGTTATGCCAAAAAAACTTAAAAGCGCTGTTCCGTTTGAAATTGAGGAAGAAATAGGAGAGTAAAATTTGTTTTTTGCCAAATCAGTGCCGCACTATTCTTGCCTTAAATAATATTGAATATTATGCGCCTACAGAGCAACTGGTTCAATAGAAACATGATCATTCTTCGTTTTGGTTTTCGATATATTAGTAATTTTTTATGTTTTTCAAATAAAATACCCTGGTTTTTTCCCATAAGAAATTTCTCTATTAGAACGTTCGATATTTAAATAATTCAAGCATATTTAAAATTTCATGAAAACCCTGCAAATTGGTCAGATTGTTTTTAAAAAACCCCGTAAAATAAGGTACGAGTAACCTTTCTAATGCATTTTTAGTAGAAGCATATTTAGTTATAAATCAATTGAACAAGAAAGTGTTTTCGCCATTTAATAAAAATATTATTGGCTATTTGAAAATTCTGTTGCATTAGTGGGGTTTCTAAGTGAGAATTAAATATAATCCGAAATTCGCCTGCTTAAATAATTTAAGCGGTAAATGTTTATTACATGTTTTGTTGGGCATGCTGATTTAGCAGTTGATGCAATTTTTCCAGTTTTGCTGCCTACTCAGGGTTGAAATAAATCCATTTTACCAGTTTTTATGTATTTTTATTGCTTTAGTACATTTTCCATTTTTAGAACATTTCATACAATTATTTAGTTCTCTAATGATCTTGTTGCAATAAGATTCTGGTACCATCTAGCCGAGTCTTTCCACGTTCGGGTTTTATTAGCACTCTCAAAATCCACACGAATTAAGCCAAACTTGGGTCTGAAAGTAGACCATTTAGAATTTACATGTTCAAAAATTCACTTGGGAAAAGCTGGTTTCTTACTCATAAGACCCCCATTCGAAATTATCCATCAATGACCAAGCTGTGTAACCAAAAACGTTGATATTGTCCAGTTCAATGGCGTCAAGAACACTATTCAAGAAACCCTGGAAGAAAGTTATTTTAAACAATTCTACACATTGATGGAAATAAAATAGCTATCACTATTTCACTTGCATCTTGGACCTTATTTAATACTTTTTTCCACTTAATCGGTATAGATAAGTTCTATATTGTTGAGGCGGATTCATTTGTTACAAATTTCTTTTTGGGTATTTCGCCTCAAAAATTTTTGTCTTTAAAAAAGACAGAATTTTTTCACGTCTTTTATTACAGATTGATAAATAGTGCTCCTATTTCGCAATAAGAACGAATTATTTATCAA